TAGAAGAACCTAAAGGGCATTTATACAAGTGCTCTGGGAGTTGTGGTGGGGAGTGCTTTAATTAGAGCGGCTCTAAGAACCTCTAATTAAATCACCTGGAACATCATGTGTATCAGAGTCCCCATGCTGAAAATGATGGTGGGGGCATTTTAACTAAAGTTTCTTGAATGAACTTTAGTTTAAAGGACCCCACTGCCATTTTCCAGCTTGGGGATGCTGATACAAATGACACTGAAGCCTACTGGAGCATGGTAATTACTTCTGATTAATCAAGTCTGTTCCAACATGCTGCAGTTACCTCTCTGCACATGTATAGGCACCCAAAAGTGCCTAAATCCCATTCACTTTCAAAGGGGCTGGCCACCTAACTCTCCCAAGCCCCTTTAAAAATTCCACCTTTTTTATGGTCAACGACACAGATCTGTTACCTAAAGGAAGAACATTTGTGATAATCAGGGATCCTGGTTCTGTCTGAAAAAAAATCCCCAATTTTCAGATTACAAAAATTAACCTAAAATCCACATTTTTTCATGATCAAAATGAAACCCCACTCGCTCTCTCTCTCATTTATAAATATAAGTGGTGTTTCATTTTAATCACGGAAAAATGTGGATTTGGGGTTCCTTTTTTTAATCTGAAAATTGGGGATTGTTTTAAAATCAGAGAAAGCCAGGATCCCTGGTGATAATTTATATATTCTTTATATAATCTAGTAGTATCTCAAGAACAAAGTCATGACTAACATCTCATCATGCCAGACACAGCACAAATATATAACTAGATGAGGGAAGAAAAAGAAGCAACTATGTGACACTGATGCTTAAATCCTATTGAAAGTCATTAATGCGCTTTGAAACATCTTGTCCATGGTCCCTGCCCTGAAGAGCTTACAACAGTTGAAACCAGATTCAAATTACCGTAATCCACCATAGGAAAAAGAAGAATGAGAGGAACACAACTATGATAAAAATATGCAAGATTTTGTCAAAACACTGCTAATATAATTTTGTTTTTCAAATATTTGCATTAACATGGTTATTTAAGGGATTGTTTTAAAAATTACCTAAATATATAAATAAATATAGCATTAACATGTAAACATAAATGATCAATGGCAAAAACAGTAAACATGGCACCTGTTATCTTTCAATAGAGAAAAGCTGGCCTAGAACTCCATCCCTACAGAGTCCATCCCAGGCTTAAGGACCCAGACCTATTTACCTTTCTGTAGAAACAGCCTTTAACATTAATGGCCAGCTCCAGAATCTACTGAAGACAATTAAAAGACTCCCATTGACTATAATGGGCTTTGAATCAGGCTCCAGCACATTTAGTTAACTATCACAACTGAACTTCGCACATAGAGACCCAACTTGTATCTGTATAGGAGGATAAATGTTTTCTCAGAAAAAAAGAAAATATTTTTTCATATGCTTATGGAAGATATAATTCCAATAGTTAGTCATGGGCACTAATAAGACCTGTCTCACATTCCATTAAACATTTATAGAGCAGCACAAGAAAATAGTTTCCTCATATTGTAAAAGATAAAATCTTCTCTGGTGAAGACCTGCATGCTGAATTTTGGCAAAACAAGGAAAGCAGAACTTACCTGGAACTCCTGCTCTTTAATTCTCATATGTCTGAGAGTAAAGTACTAATGTGGATGCAATTTCAGACTGATAGTTTAGCAAAACATTATCTGTACTACAGCCTAAACACAAAAAGATGGATTTTTGTGCTTCTCATGTGCCCATTCCACTTTTGTTTTGCCAATCCTAAAAATATATAAAACACATTTCCATTCACTTTAAAAATAAAACCATAAAAAAATGCAGAAAAGATAATGTAAGTTGTTTGAAAATACTAGTTTTATTAGATTAATCATACTCAGAATAATTTTAGCCCTGTGATTATAATGTGATTTTATGAGAATGTTAGCAATTACCAATGTTACAAAATCCCTGAAGCCACTGGATTTATTTATTTATTGCTATGTATTTCTATTATGTTCATCCTTGTAGTACTCGTGTGCCCAGCCACATTTGGTTTATTTGCGCAGGAATGAAACAGCCACTTGCTAATATAGTAACAGTCTGGAATGTTTCAAAATGACCCTTACGATAACTCAGAAAAAAAGACGAATTCTTCAATGCAAATCCTCTCAAGAAAAGCTTCTGCACACAAAGTAAGATGAACCAGTTACTGCATTGCTTATTAAGTTTCACTTGATTCCTCCTGACAACCATTTAAACAATGAATGTTGGGAAATGTCCCTCAAAGAATCAACAACAATGGTAGGGATCAGAGCTTTTATATTTAGCTAATACTGTTTTTAAAGAGGAGAAAATATTTCTTCCTGAAAGGATTATGGGAAGTCTTATAAAAGACACCTGCAAACAAAACAAGTGACAAAAGATCTTTATCATAATTGATAACGGTCATCCTTCCTACAAATTGATGCTTCCTTAGAAATAAATAATGTCATACACTGTTGGTATTGTATCCAAGATGCGCTCACTAATCAGCCCAGCTGATAGTCCACAGTAGAAAGTTTTACCAAAGAAGACTATGCTGAAGAGGAAACATTTTTCCCCTCATGCTCTGAGACACAAAAAGTTAAATGCAAAAAACCCTATAGTGAAGTTCTAACTAACCACACCTCTTTTTATCCCCAACAGAAATATTTAAGTGTTGAAAAAAATCTCATTGGAATAGATTGGATAAGCATATATATTCTATTTTAACAAGCTCCTTATGGTTTCTATTACTGTACAATTTCAGAAATCTGTTTTTCACTTGCAAGGCAAACTTGAGAATATGTGCCATCATTTATTCAAATGACCTATTTGCAAGAGATTAAGTACTCATGAACATTAAGCTTTGAATGGGAAACCTTTCTAAATCACAGGTTTCACAATATGGATAAGAAACTTGATAGTGCTTAAAAGAATATTATATTCACATTATGAAATGCTTTACTCTTTCATCTCTGATCAGTTTGGTTTTGGTATGTGTGCAAGCCACTGGCATTACCTCTATTAGACTACAGCATCTGGGTTCCTACTAGCAACCGTAGTGGCCGCTTGAAGATGAATGTAATACATTACCCCCACTAGTTGGAAAGACCTGTACCTAACAACCTCCAGCACTGCACAACAGGGCATGGGTCCATCTCCCAACTTGAGTGACAGCACAGGATACTTAACCCTGTCAGACACAATATAAAAAAAATACCCTACAACTGATTGTTTCCCTCTGTTCCCTTCCCACACTCAACTTCACACCATCTCTACTTTCTTTTGTCCCCAATTGTTCTGCCAGTTCTACCCCTCTACCCACAAACTCCTCCTCTCTTTGATGTGCTGGAAATAGATCAGCTTTTGCAGCAGCCCTTGGGAATTGAGCAGAGTGGAGTGGAGAGTTAAAGGTATGGCAGAGAAAGGAGAAGAGAAATGCTTGCTGATAAGGGGAGCCAATCGAGTCTCAGAAACAGCAGTAAAAATAGAGCCACACCATCTAATAGTCCACTCTGCCTGAACTTAGCCAGCCCTGTGCACAGCAGGGGTAGCAATAAGCATAGTATGCCCAGGGGGCCACCAAGTAGGCAGTAAGTACTAAGTAGAATAAAGGAAGCCAGTGAGTAGGCAGCCATGTCGTAGCATAAAAGGATGCAAAAGCATTGCCTTAAACCAGCTGAAATGAAGCCAGATTTTCTGTCCAATGAAGAACAGTTAACTCCGAAGAAACACATATCTGAATCCATATAAAACTGATGGAAATATATAGCCAAAATATAGATTCTTCATGTATTTTTAGAAACCTGTAAAATTCAAAATTTTGACAACTAGAATCAAGAAAATATCAGCAAACACAAAGTATTTAAACTTCTAATGGAACTTCTCCAAGCAAATAAACAAACACATTCCTTCCTTTTTCCTCTCCCAAATGATCTACTGTAGTGCGTTTTGAAAAACAGGACAGGAAGCTCCATCACCCTTAAGCTATGTATGCAGTAGAATAAAAAGATATCGTGTTAAAGCATGTTTTGACTAATAACAGTCTAAATTAGTTTTTCAGCAAAGTTTGAGTATTAATACTTTAAAAGATTATTTATTTTCTTTCAATTAATGTAAAGGGAAAAAAATTAAACACACAGGTGAAATCTTCAAAGCGAACTATAAACAGAGAAAATAAAATAAAATGCCCAGTAAATGTGCTATAGAATACATTCTTGAATTGGTAGTGGTGAACCTACAGATGACCCAATACATCTTTCCCATGTCTAATTTTTATGATACTAAATTCAAAATATTAAAGGCAATAATATAACGTGTTTGTTTTTAGAAACTTTTTGCTTTCTACAGTATTTCATGAAAAGGAATGACCATGAGGGCCCCCAATAAAACAGAATCACTTTAATGCTAGAAGAATAACCCTTTTCTTCATTACCAAAATCAACTCTGCTTTGTCCATTCTGATATAAGCAGTAACTTCTCCCTCTTGTTCCTATCAAGACTATTATTTTCACCCTATTACACTAATCTTTTCTTTGTAAATAGCCACACCTGTTTGAATCCAAAAATGGTGTGGTAAACTTTTGATTCTTTGTGGAAGTACACACATAATTAGGTTAATCTGTGCGATCTTTTCAAGTGAGTTGATTGTTTCTTTACTGTGGACATATTTCTCATAACAGCAAAAGGCTTGCCAGATTGCTTGGAGGCAAATCAGGAGCAATTTACCAAGCATGTAGCTACTATGAACTGAAATCTTGACATAATAGCAAGCTTTGTATAGCCACTCCTACCTGTCAGTTATTACTCATGTTAGCTTTTTATTTACACAGTAAATCTTGACCACACCCTCCTTTCTCAAGTAAGCACTTTCATTAAACTCAGCTAGTTCTTTGAAAGATATATTATTCAGTTTTATATGTCAACAGAATATAAACTCCTAATGCAATATAATACTCTTCATAAAAGTAGTGACTGTATTACCTGCATGAAGTCCAAAAATGTTAACGGAAGCAAATCATCCAGATGGCCAATATCTTTAGAGAAACGGTTTAGGATTCTCCCTATAAAACAGGATTCAAGTAAAAATATGTTGTTTTTTTTCTAACGTAGTTCGTTTCTAAAAAGTCACCAAAATAAAGACTAATTATGCTATGACATCATCATGATACCCACTAGTGCAACATTTATATACAACATGAAATGATTCTCTAAATGCTGTTGTATGGTCATGCCCATACATGTTTAGTGAGTGTCCAGATGGCACCTAAAGCCCCAATTCTGCTAATCTGCATGGTAAAGCATAATTTTATGTATACAGGGTAATGTTTACCAGGTGGCATCTCAACAGTGATGCATGTCAAACAATATTTTTCTGGTCCTCTTATTCTGGTTGAAAATTCCACTGGCATTAACACTGTATGCAGGTATTGGAAGCCTACCATGAGGACTGCTTCAGCAACTATAGTACTGTCTTGGTTTTTTAAACAACTCGGATTTCCGCTAAAAATACAGTAAAATCTTAGTAAACATAAGTTTGAGTTGTAAATGTTACGGAAATCGAATCTGAGTTTGTTTTATATGAATGTATCATTGAATTTATATTTATTCAAAACCTTGACAATGCTGATCTTTATTAAAACTTATAACACTATTTTTAATCTGTTATCACTGAAGCATTGACACTCTCCTGTTTTCTTGAGTTCTACTTGACTGAAAATATTCAGAGAGAGCAAAAGACCTTTAACAATTAAAATTGAATCTCTATCACCTGTACATGAATAAGTACCAAACTCCATAGCGTGTTGATTCAACTCATGGGGAAGGAACAACAACCATAGGAACAGGACTAGCCTTTAACAAGGTATTCAGGCTTGAGCATGCATTTATGCTTCTTTACTTGCACATATTTTGGCTTAATTATTGCAAAGAATTGTTTCTACTAGTGAGAAATAGTGGCAACAATAGAAAAAATAATTCTTTAAGAAACAATAAAATTAAATTAAAAAAAAATAAAATCAAACCAATTCACTGAACTGAGAGTAAATACATTTCACATTTTCAAAGCGTGCTGGAGCCCTAAGCTGAGGACTGAATAAGCAATAAAAGTAGCCTTTATACAAACATCTTAGTTAAAGGATGACTTAATAATGTAATGCATAATGAAAAATTATTTGTATGTATCTGAAGAGTACAGCGCATGCTAATGTTACTTGTTCAAAGGCTCAAGACTGGCAGTGGGTAGGGTTGACAGACAAGAAGAAACTCCACCCTGGACAAGTTATCCCTATGCCATTTTTTACCTTCTGACGTGCTTGCAAAGATTCATGTTCTGTATTATCTATTCTGCCATGCTCTTTCTTCATGGGGATCTCTGAGGCAGATGCCAGCAGGTAGTGACCTTGTTACACAAATCCAGTGAGAACACAGAGGAAGGGTGAACTGGGAGTCCAGGACTACCACCAAGACCTCCATAAAGATGGCCCTATGGATTCACTCTGCTATCTATCTCACATTGGAATGGACAGAAAGAAAACAACCCCACAAAGAAACCCTCATTAAAGTCTCTTTCTTCTTGACACCATCCTCCCTCTTCTGTCCCCCCTGGCCCCTTGAAGGTTTTGATGCAGAAGGAACAGCTCACTCTGTAAAGCCTTTGCACTGCAGTTTGGTTCTTGAAGTTTGGTTGTGGCTTGGAAGCAATCCATTGCCTTTAAGACCCTCCAGCACTATTTACAACCACAAGAAGATCCTACTCCCCTTTTCACCATGAAACTCAACAATACTATCAAATCATTTCCATCAGGACTACAGGAAAAACTACAGACCTTGATCCTGCAACTACCTAGCCCAGGGACTTTTCACATGCTC